ATAGAGCACACTAAAGGCAACTAAAAAAAATCACATTCCTCAAAAAACTAAAAATAGACTTACCATATGATCCAACAATCCCACTCCTGGACAGATATCCAGAGGGAACTCTAATTCAAAAAGATACATGCACCCCAGTGTTCACAGCAGCACTATTTACAGTAGCCAAGACACAGAAGCAACTTAAATATCCATTGACAGATGACTGGATAAAGAAGCTGTGGTATATTTATACAATGGAATACTACTCAGCCATAAAAAAGAATAGAATAATGCCATTTGCAGCAACTTGGATGGACCTGGAGACTGTCATTCTAAGTGAAATAGACCGGAAAGAGAAAGAAAAATACCACATGATACCATTCATATGTGGAATCTAAAAAAAAAAAAAGAAAGAAAGAAAGGAAAGAACAAAAAAAAGAAGACACTAATGAACTTATCTATAAAACAGAAACAGATTCACAAATATGGTAAACAAACCCATGGTTACCAGGGGGAAAGAGGGTGAGAAGGGATAAACTGGGAGTTTGAGAATTGCTAATATTAACTACTATATATAAAATAGACTAAAAAACCAAATTTTTTCTATATAGCACAGGGAGCTATATTCTATATCTTGCAGTAACCTATAATGAAAAAGAATATGAAAATGAATATATGTGTGTGTATGTATAACTGAGACATTATGCTCTCCACCAGAAATTGACACACTGTAACTGACTATACCTTAATAAATAAATAAATAAGTCATGAAGTTAAACAAATGACTAGAGACATCAAAAGTAAATGGTCAGTGGATAAAGTTGTGGTATATTTATACAATGGAATACTATTCAGCCACAAAAAATAATAAAATAATGCCATCTGCAGCAACATGGATGAACCTGAAGATTGTCTTTCTAAGTGAAGGAAGCCAGAAAGAGAAAGAAAAATATCACATGCTATCACTTATATGTGGAATCTAAAACAAAAACAAAACAAAAAACAAATTTATTTACAAAACAGAAACAGACATAGAAAACAAACTTATGGTTACCAGGTGGGGAAGAGGTTGAGAAAGGATAAACCAGGAGTTTGAGATTTTACAGATACTAACTAATATATACAAAATAGATAAACAACAAGTTTATACTGTATAGCACAGGGAACCATATTCAATATCTTGTAGTAACTTATGGTGAAAAAGAATATGAAAACGAATATATGTATATTCCTATATGACTGAAGTATTGTGCTGTACACCAAAAATTGACACATTGTAAACTGAATGTACTTCAATAAAAATATATTTTAAAAAAAGTAAAGGCTAAGGAAGCTT